CTCCTTTTTCTGTGGAACTGAGATAATGATAATAGTTAAGTTTTAATTTTTACCTCCAGCATCATTAGTACAATAGTCATAGCAAAAGAAAGTTAACCAAAAGTTACTTCTCCAAATCCTGGGACAGCAAATTTGTCTCTTCCAACACATCCTCAGCACAATCCAACAAATAAACAATGCAATCAATACTGCAAGTACAATGAATAGGATGGCAAATACACCAGGGCTACCAGTACCTATACATGTAAAATTCTATGACAATAAAATCAGTGTTTAAAATTAAGAATTACCATCAAAGAAACCAGTAGTTACTGTTTCTGTCACTGTTTGCAAATGTGTCACTATGACTGTAGTAGGTCTTATCAGGTCTTCTAGACCTAATGAATAATAATCGTTATCAGATGACTTATTCCGTTCTAGAGACTTATTACCAACTTTTGATGCAGGCCCAACAACATTACGAACTGTAACATTGTAAGTATAATTAACTCTGTCTCTTATAGGAAATATGTAAGTTTCATTTATTTGACAGGTTGTGCTAATATCATTCAAAATGATATTACAACCAGTAACTGGAGGACGTTCATCATTGTTATCATCCTAATATGCAACCAACATTGAAACTGAAATTCCATTGGATTCAAATTTACCTTAAATGTAAATATTAACCCACTAATGTTGACTAATGTTGAAGGAACTAAAAAATAATAAAATTTATAATAAAATTTTGTTTACCTAGCCAAAGGAAGGGTATACTAGCTATGCCTCTACTTTCATCTCCAAGGTAATTAATACTGTTTATTTGAAAGGGGTAGGTGCCAGAAGACTCTGGAGTATAAGAAAATGATGTTCCATTTACTGTACTTGTATCATTTAAGACACCAATAACAATAACCCTGTAAACTGAAGTACATGTAGCTCTACTCCAAGTAACAATAATTTGAGCACTGACTCGATCGAACCGATGATTAACTGAAGGATTGGAAACGTCTCACGTGATCCATTCATATGCGTTGATTGCCGCGTGCACTCCTTGTCCGTGTTAATAGTGCGAGTCCTTTTGAAGTAGTGAAGAAGAAGAAGGACAGAGGCTGTACTTTGTGCATAGGCGGCTGCAGGGGCAGGCAATGAGGGCAATGCCCTACTAGAATTTCTCACCGGAAGATGACATCATCATAATTAGCAGTTAATTAATAATTATTTAGTAGTTATTACATGGAATATAGCCAATTTTAATGACAAAAACTATATTATTTTGCTCAACAAAGTGATAATTAGTGGAGAATAAGCTGCTAACTGCATGATTCAACACAGTAAGCCAGTCAACCACTTCATAGGTCCATGTCTATGGGCCACTTCGGGAAGATATGATCCACTAGTCTGGCCAGACTAATCATCCACAGCTAGAATAACTGACTCCTTCATATAGCAGCTTCATTATTAATCATCATAGTCAGCTAGGACTCATTGAACAGCTGAATCACCTAGCTACAGATACTCTATATTGAAAGAGGTCTTTTAGGTACTGAATTTTCTCCTCTTGAACACAAGAATGGCAGGGTAACTCTTCATTGAGAAGTTCAGAGCCTTTTTCAAGTGGATTTTTTCCAAAATGCTGAAATAGAAGTCTTAAAAGACTTAAACTCAAGAGCAAGACATGTGGGTGTGGCCATAGCCACACCTACTTTTTGACCACTCCCACTTTCAGCCACACCTTTGCCCTACTTGCAGTGAAATCCTGCAGCCGCCTATGGTCAAAATGGCATGGTAAAGCCTTTAAACAAGCATGGGCTTTTATTGTCAATCTTAAATGCTCTCTAGACATTTATATGTATACAGGCAGAGGCACTTATTGGCATTAGAAATATTTTACTATACATTTGTGTGGTGTGGCCTGCAGCAGTGGTTAGTGTCTATTATCTACTTTGTTGCTTTGCAACTTTTTGTTTAATTCTGTCATTAAAGCCATTATTG